AAAAAACGTTTTTGAAAAAAAAGTTTAATCAGCTGAATTAATAAATGAATCGTTAAATGTGATTTGTGAACTGGTTCATTAAAAAAGAACTGGCTCAAAAGGTTTGAAACGGACATTGCTATCTGATCTCAGAGAAGATGACTGGGTATGGAGAATAAATGTTGAAATTAGGTGTTATTTTATTGTACTTATTTATTAGTTTATTATTTATTAAGAGAAAGACCTGATGTTTAAGACATTTAAAAGAGTAATGCATCAAGAAACAGCATGTTTTCCTTCAAATTAAGTGGATTAAAAAGTTATGGAATGTAGTGAACGAAAAGTAGGCTTCATAAACATGAATTTGTTCATTATTTAGTTCTCATACAACAGCACACAACCTACGGCTATGAAAAACCAATAACAACTTAGCTATAAGTGTGTCTTGTTGTATTTTTTTTTAATGAACACAATACTAAATCTTTTTAAATTTCTCTTCTCATACTATGGTGATATGATGCAATCAACATTTCATAAATCATTTGATTCATAATTCATTCCTCTACCCAAAAACCTGACAATGCATGTTCAGAAATTCCTTTTTCATCACTCCACCTCTAAAAACAAGTCTAAAAGTACTTTCAAAACCAAGATCAGAAGTGTTTATTTAACGTGGCACGGGTTGATCTGATTGGTTGGTGGTTTACAGTCAGGTTAAATGCTAAAGTCCAATAAAAAAGGTTCACGTGGAGCCCTCACGCATATTAATGAGCCTCAGAGTCATCGGGAAATCCAGTTACACAATGAGCTGCATCTTTCCTTACTGGAGTAACAGCACACCTCTGCTCAACAAGACGCGTGAAGCACAAACGCTTGTAGGTGTGTAGGTGTGTGTGTGTGTGTGTGTGTGTGTGTGTGTGTGTGTGTGTTGGGGAAGGCTGTATAGAAGAGGTTACAGGGTTAAAGACTTTATGGGGAGAGTGTTGCATCGGTTTATATCCACAGCATCAGAGAAGAGCCTCCAGTCACCATTATAACATTTAATTCCCCCACCCCTTCAATTATCCTGCATCTCGCTGATCTCTGATGCATAGAGACAAGCCCTTCATTTAAAGGGACAGTTCACCTAGAATATAATTTATTCTTCCTCATGTCATTCTATGACTGTCTTTCTTAAATACCATATACTGCTACTCCAACTGGTTTGAGAGAATTTAACCATTTAAAACTGACATTTAAATGTATTTAGAAACTATATCTAAAAGTAAAAACTTACAAAATACAAACTATGCAATTGTTTTAAATGTAAAATGTTTTTCTGATTTTTTTCCCCTTTTTCCTTCTATATACCCCTAACATGCTTGGTTATATATATTCTTGTTTATACAATATTCTTGGTTCTACAAGCTCTCAAATCTCATTACGCTTCTTCAAACCTGATCACGAGATGCACATTAAGTCAAACTTGAAGTGATGCAACTTCATGAGTCACGTTTGAATACGCATACATGAATAATGATATTCGAGCACAACAATGAAGAGCAAGTTTTTCAGCAAATAATACTGCTCACACAAACTATCATATGATTTGTTATACAGCGCAAGAGTCATGCTGGCTACGGTTATGCTGCTTTTTAGTTCTTGTATGTAAAACAGCTTGAAGGACTCTTTTGCTATGCAGGAATTAAGTCATGCGGGTTTGGATCGACATGGGCTGAGTAAATGATGACAGAATGTTATTTTTGGCTGCACTGTCCATTTAAAAAGCCTCAAGGATGACACGTGGAGGTCTCTTGTACAAACAGAGCGGTCGCTGAACCATGTTTAACACAAGAAAACCAGATCTTCAGCAAACGCTACACAGAGCTCGTCTGGCTTTCACAGAGCTGCACGCCGTCTGCCGCTACTCACACCGGGGCGAACATATGGAGACCCAACATCTCCTAAAGCAGAGCACAATTAGTCATCATGCAGAGTGTGTGTGTGTGTGTGTGTGTGTGTGTGCGCTGCCAGATGGCTGATCCACCACCCTCCTCCATCTCCAACATTCTGCTCCACAACATCGTCATCAATCTAATAACTATTACTCAGAGCTCCTAACAAGCAAAAATCCATTTCCACTAATAAGAGGATGCAGAGAATGAAAATAAAGTTGAGATGGTCTTCATACTGTACATGTGACTTTATACAGACAGACGTGCAATCTTTGGGAAACCTGTTTGAAAACAGTGATTATTTTCATAATTCCACTGGTTGGCGCTATTGGTGCAGAAATTACACAGTTTGCTTTTAAAGGGGCCATATTCTACTAGGTTTTTGACAAGCATTGGTTCTATTCTATTCTATTCTATTCTATTCCATTCCATTATATTCTATTTTACCCAAAAATAAAAATTCTGTCATCATTTACTTTCACTTATGTCATTCCGTGTTGTTATTGTCAACTTAAACAAAAGCTATTAAAAATAATTTTCTTTATTGAAATAATGCTGAAATAAAATGAAATATAAATATTAGTTGCAAAACTTGAAATAAAAAAGTCCAATAATAAAAATAAAATAAAATAATAAAGTACAAAATGGCTAAAACTAAACCTGAAATAAAATAAAACTAAACAGAAATATAAACATAATAAAAGCACATAACAAATTGACTAAAACTTAAACTAAAATTAAAATGAAAACTGAAAAAAAAGCTAATTCAAGAGCTATGTCTTATTAAAGCTAATTCAAAATATAAATAAATACTATAATAGAATATAAATAATACTAAAATAACACTGGACCTCATTGAAGTTCATTGTATTGACTTTAATATTTAATATGTTTTTGTTATGGTTATATTGTACTGTATATTTCTTTTTTTGTAATTTTTTGTATATAATGCTTTTGCAATATTGTATAAACACAATCATGCCAATAAAATACTTTAAAATTAAAAAAATTGAAAGGTTAATTTTTGTGTGAACTATCCCTTAGCCCTTATAATAAAATTAAGGACACGCATTTTCATTCAAACGTATTTTCTTTGTCAAGATTGGTGTTGTCATGTAAACTAATGTTTATAGTCTCTCTATGGCAGCTGTGCAGTGATATACACAGGATCACTGGATTGACCAATCAGATGACACATGGAATGCAAAACTAAACTGCTGATAAACCAAACATGCTTTCCTCTGTTTCTCTGATGTGTGTTGATGAAAGGAAGCAGAAATTCAGGCCCACTCAGCACCTCATTCACTAAGCATTTAAGCATGTTAGCAGATTTCTAATCCTGAACTGAAGCAAATCTTTCATCAGCTTTTGTGCGCTGAGCCGGTTCCCCGAGGCAGTGTTTGTGTGCTTTATCACCATCATTCATTCTGCCTCAAGGTCACACAGCTGCTGTTTAATTAGAGACACTCAGAGCTGCTTCAGAAGGCCGTCAGACGCGGGCCGAGCGCAGACGTCTGCAGGATTACAGCAGATGTCATTCAGGCCACATCACAAATACAGCAGCATACACGCGCATGCGCACGCGCACAAACAAGCACACAGACAGACACAGACACACACACACAGACACACACACACACAGACAGACGCAAACACACACACACACACACACACACACACACACAGACAAAAGCACAGACAGACACAGACACACACACACACACACACACACATATATGGTCCTATCAGTGACTCACTCACCCCTGTTCCTCCATCATCTCCTGAAGCTCCATGCATTTCAGCTCCACCCTCCTCTTCCTCTCATGGTCCAGAATCTCACGGTGAGCCTTCTTCACCAGGACAGGCTCAGGCGGGACTCCCTCTACACACACACACACACACACACACACACAGACACAAGCACAGACAGACACAGACACACACACACACACACACACACATATATGGTCCTATCAGTGACTCACTCACCCCTGTTCCTCCATCATCTCCTGAAGCTCCATGCATTTCAGCTCCACCCTCCTCTTCCTCTCATGGTCCAGAATCTCACGGTGAGCCTTCTTCACCAGGACAGGCTCAGGCGGGACTCCCTCTTTCTCCTCCGGCTGCTCGTCAGCTTTGGGACATGTGGCTGCGGGGGTCTCGGGCTGCAGCGGGACCCCGTTAGCGGCATCCTCAGGGGAGGGAACCCTCGCCCCATCGTACATGGCCACGGCACTCTGACAGACACAAGCACAGAGACATGAGATCCCAGATGAACAACGATTCCAGAGGGATTCAGGAAGTACATCACAGGCCAGAGTTGTTATATAACTATAGTTTATTATATAAACTAAAGGCATTCACAAAAAACATTTTCATTAATCACAATAAAATAAATGTTAACTGGAATAAAATATAATATAAAAAACATACTTTATTTTAGCTAGTTTCCAAGACATTTCCAACATTTTCTAAAAAATACTAATATAAATAACAAAGGCACCCAACATTTTTATTAAAAATATTTAATTGTTAAACTTTAAGTGAAAAATAAAAATACAAAAAATACATACAAATTTAAAAATTAAAATGAATAAAAACTGCACAGAGAGTATTTAGATAGGAAAAATAATAAAAACATATTTACTAAAACTTTAACTGAAATGATAATGGAAAATATAAAAATAAATAAATTCAAGATATTTCTAAAAAACTAAATAGCATCTTTTTAGTATACATATCTTTAAGAAATTAATACTTTTATTCATCCAAGGATGCATTAAATTGACCAAAAGTGACAGTAAATAAATATATTACAATTTATATAAAAATATTTATAAAAAACTATTACAATTTTAAAAAATGCTGTTCTTTTGAACTTTCCATTCATTAAAGAATCCTGAAAAATAAAATGCATCATGGTTTCCAGAAAAATATGAAGCAGCACAGCTGTTTTCAACATTGATAATAATCAGAAATGTTTCTCGAGCAGCAAATCAGCATATTAGAATGATTTCTGAAGATCATGTGACACTGAAGACTGGAGTAATGATGCTGAAAATACAGCTGCGCATCACAGAAATACATTACATTTTAACATAGATTCACATAGAAAACACTTTTCTAAAACCGTAATAATATTTCACAATATTAATGTTGTTCCTGTATTTTTGATCAAATAAATGCAGCCATGGTGCGCAGGAAAAGTCTTCTTCCAAAAACATTTTAAAAATCTTACCAGCCACAATCTTTTGAACGCCAGTGAATAATTAATGCAAAAAATGCCATCAAATCAACTGCACCACCATTCAGACCTCACTGTCATTAAGAGGATGACAAAAACTATTAAGAAATAAGACATGACTGTTTTTTGCCCTCATAATAACAACACAAGCAGCAACAGAGACTTTCCATATCTTCTGTACAGGACACAGACTGCAATTGCATTCATATATAAATCATATTGAACATGTACAGCATGTGCTCTGAATAGCACAGTCCATTGTCACATTAACATCCGGCCAGTAATTCCCATCCACAAAGAAGATATTCTCACCTAAATGAATTGGTATAATAAATGGCAGTATTTTTTGCTGAATGGATTGAATCATATTGGCTGCTGGCAATATACCACAAAAATGAGAAAGGGAGAGAAGCGTCTGGATGAGATCCCAGAACCTGCGACTAATGGTCTCGTATTTCAAAATAGAGACTGAGTTCAACACATTCCCTTCATCACTGTCACCGCAAACTCTCTTTCCCTGCGTGAGGTCTTTGCTGCAGGATCACATTTCCATAAAGGTTTTGCTGTTTATTTGGATGTCACATGCATGTCAGAAATATTTGCTTTATGTACACTCTAAAAAATGCTGGGTTAAATACAACTCAGTGCTGGGTAAAATAGGGACAAACCCAGCAATTGGGTTGTTTTGACCCAGCGGTTGGGTTACTACCGTCACATGCATGTCAGAAATATTTGCTTTATGTACACTCTAAAAAATGCTGGGTTAAATACAACCCAGTGCTGGGTAAAATAGGGACAAACCCAGCAATTGGGTTGTTTTGACCCAGCGGTTGGGTTACTACCCAGAAGGTTGGGTCATAACAGCCCGATTGCTGGGTTTGTCCCTATTTTACCCAGCACTGAGTTGTATTTAACCCAGCATTTTTTAGAGTGTAGCAATATACATAACAATTATTATTAAAAAACATTTAGCCTCTTTTGAAAATTATATGTGACCCTGGAGCACAAAAGCAGTGTTAAGTCGCTGGGGTATATTTGTAGCAATAGCCAACAATAAACTGCATTTTTCTTTTATGCCAAAAATCATTAGGATAGTAAGAAAAGATCCTGTTCCATGAAGATATTTTGTAAATTTCTTACTGTAAATATATCAAAACTTCATTTTTTATTAGTAATATGCATTGCTAAGAACTTCATTTGGACAACTTTAAAGATGATTTTCTCAATATTTAGATTTTTTTGCACCCTCAGATTCCAGATTTGCAAATAGTTGTATCTCAGCCAAATATTGTCCGATTCTAACAAACCATACATCAATGGAAAGCTAAATATATCAAAACTTCATTTTTTATTAGTAATATGCATTGCTAAGAACTTCATTTGGACAACTTTAAAGATGATTTTCTCAATATTTAGATTTTTTTGCACCCTCAGATTCCAGATTTGCATTAATAGTTGTATCTTAGCCAAATATTGTCCTATCCTAACAAACCATACATCAATGGAAAGCTGATTTATTCAGCTTTCAGATGATGTATAAATCTCAATTTCGAGAAATTGACCTTTATGACTGGTTTTGTGTTCCAGGGTCACATATATGTTTTTCACTGTTTATTCCATTAATTACAGTAGATAAAAAATGTATTTATTTCTATGTATCTTATTAAAGGGCATGTTATTCAACATCCACAACCCAATATTCACCAGCAAACTGTGTGAAATATATGTAACAATATTATGTTTTAAAAAAAGGAATTCAATGAACATTTATTTTGATAATCAATTAATTTTATGAAGTCTTCAATTTATTACGGTAGATAAAAATTCCAAAGAATTTCTCTATTTCATTAAAGAACATTATTCAACATTCACAGCCCAAAAATCTCACACACAAATTGTATTCAATATAATACAATGTAAACATTTTAGAAGTTGTCTTTTAGAAGTAATATTTTGATTATTTCTTCAATTAATTACAGCAGATAGAACAGCCTTTTTATTATTTTATATATATATTTTTGGGGATTTTATTAAAAACATGTTATCAAAGCCCACTATTCTTCAAAAACTGTGTGCAACATTTATAACAATATTATGTTAAAAAATGACATTTACATTGATAATCAATTCATCTTTTGATAATTTCTTCGATTGCATTTTATTAAAACTTATTTTATTCCACAGCCTACTTCAATGGACATTTATAATTCTATTCATTGATAATTCTTCATATCATCTTCAAATGTATGAATGTGGGTTATGATATAAATTATGTGCAACATTTTTTTTTAAATATAAATGTGAATTAACTGAACAAACTACCTGGAGAGATTTGGCCTCAACAATCTTTTTTTATTAAAATATATGCATAGAATTAAAAACATGTTATCAAAGCCCACTATTCTTCAAAAACTGTGTGCAACATTTATAACAATATTATGTTAAAAAATGACGTTTACATTGATAATCAATTAATCTTTTGATAATTTCTTCGATTGCATTTTATTAAAACTTATTTTATTCCACAGCTTACTTCAATGGACATTTATAATTCTATTCATTGATAATTCTTCATATCATCTTCAAATGTATGAATGTGGGTTATGATATAAATTATGTGCAACATTTTTTTTTAAATATAAATGTGAATTAACTGAACAAACTACCTGGAGAGATTTGGCCTCAACAATCTTTTTTTATTAAAATATATGCATAGAATTGTTTAGATTCAGAAGAAGAGACAACAGGAGTGCATAGAAAGTAGAGAGTAAAATATTCTCTTTTGCTTGTTTTCCAGCATGGACTGATGACGGAGGGTGGCGTTCTTCATGTTGTTTAGCACGCCGTGAATTGTGGGTAAAGTCACGAAGCAGCATAGAGCTGAACAGGTGGCGGAATCATCACTGAATTCATTACACGCTAAATCTTTGCCTCAGATATCTGCGACTTGAATACTTAGTCTCTGAATGATTTCCCTTTATATTCATTGTGTCTTCTGACATGTGACCTTTGATGGCTATAAAAGCAATTTCTCAGGATATGAAGCAGCATACTGTACTGATTTATTCACTTCTCACATACTAAATGATATTTAAGTGCCCATCTCTATTAAAGTGAGTACAAACGAGCTGTTAATTTACAGAGAAAACGCTACACACTAACCTGAGCTTCATCATCATTAAAATAAGTCATTTCTTTGATAAACTGCACATGAAATGTTCATACTACCTAACAGATATCACTGAGGTGGTTTTATGTAATACTGTATATATTACCATTAAAATGTTTGGGGTCTGTAAGATAAAAAAATAAATAAAATACTTATATTCATCAAGGATGCATTAAATTGATCAAAAGTGGTAGTAAAGACACGATGTTACGAAAGATTTCTTTTTCAAATAAACGCTGTTCTTCTGAACTTTCTATTCATCAAAGAATCCTAAAAAAAATAAATGCATCACAGTTTCAGAAATAATCAGAAATGTTTCTTGAGCAGCATATTATACTGATTTCTGAAGATCATGTGACACTGAAGACTGGAGTAATGATGCTGAAAATACAGCTGCACATCACAGATATAAATTACATTTTACAATATATTCAAATAGACAACAGTTATTTTAAATAGTAATAATATTTGAAAATATTACTTTTTTTACTGTATTTTTGATCAAATACATGCAGCCTTGGTGAGCAGAAGAGACTCCTTTCAGACCCCAAACTTTTAAATAGTGCTACACCACATGCATATGTATTTGCATATACATATAAATCTTAATTTTTGGATTATTAGAGGAAAAATGTAGCACAGATGTCTTCCTAAATAAGCAATGCACTATTAACTCTCTCTCTCTCTCTCTCTCTTGCATTTTATTAAAACTTATTTTATTCCACAGCCTACTTCAATGGACATTTATAATTCTATTCATTGATAATTCTTCATATCATCTTCAAATGTATGAATGTGGGTTATGATATAAATTATGTGCAACATTTT